GATTGCTGTTTTGATGATAAACTGGCAAATGCATCGCAATCCCTGATAAGCCTGGAGTAGGTTTGATGCAAGTAACTGGTTGTAAAATTTAGCCTGGCATCTTCATACTCAAATGCAAAACTGAGAATCATCCTGTGTATGTATGACTGGCAGGACATGAACAGAACACACCAGCGACAAATTACATGGCCAAACACGCTGTTCATTTAGTTATGCATTTCACCCTAAATTTCCATAAGTGGAAAATATTGCAGTATGTAACATGTTACCAGTACTTGATGTTATCAGGGGTTACAGTATTCATTATGATCATTCAGAAATTCTAGTATTGATTTTTTCTGACCTGACCTAACGTACTCACCTGCATTGTGACACAGATGTCACCAGGGTCACATGTGGTTAAGCTTCCCATCACAATCAGAACTTCACGACTAGCATGGGAAGGCAACATACGTAATGAGCGCAACGCAAGTTCTAAGGCATTCTGCAGAGATGGCTCTCCACTACATGCCACTTGAGTTAACTGTTGAACTGCCTGAAATTATGAGACGGCTCGTTACATAATTGATGAAAATAAAATAGTCAAGATTCGAGGTTTTCATGGGAGCGAGAATGATGCTGCCGCTGTTCTTCCAGGTTTTGGCACCATGCAGAAGTGTCAGTAGATTTCAACACTCAGAATGGAGACAGTTTCTGTGAAATGTTGGCATCTACTGAAAAGTCTACATGACGTCATAAACCAAAAGACATTATCAGAAGATAATGAAAGTTTTCTAAATGAATTGCATTTAAACAATTTATATACCACTAACTTATCGGCTGTGATATTATAAATCCAAACTTATCACACTATAGATATTACTCTGTACAGACTCAGAAATTATTTATCCGTGGCGTAACAGCCCTCTGAGAGCCTAAGCCGACTAGCTGGCTGCTGGCCTCACGTTCACATGCCTAAGCATAGGTGAACGATCATCCAACCAGATATAGGATGACGTGTGGTCAGCACGACGAACCCCCAGCCATTGCTAGTTTTCCTGACCGGGAAATTATTTATCATCACATTTAAATATGTATTTACCAGAACAGATTACATAGTTTTCCAAAACCTTTCTTCTGATTTCACACTTATTCGTGACATATATTTTACAATATTATTTACAGAAACTTTACCAAACTTTTATAGGAGATGAAGTTTTATGTATACTGCGCATATCATTGTGGACATTCTTTTCATATTTAACAAATTATTTTGTTGCCTAACTACTCACAGCCCAATCTCATTTTGTTACCAACAGAAATGTACACTCCTCAATTGCCCTTGTTAAAAAAACTTATTTGCTTTACAGACGATATGCCTGCCTTGTTCAAGTATAACCTTTTTAGCATTCATGACAGTATGAAGCAAGCATATGCTCTAATAAATATGGAACGGATTGTACTGGATAAAAAGGCTACGCATCATGTCATCTGGTACACATAACTACCAGGTTTGTCCTGAATATAAACTACAAAAGCCTGTTTGTAAACAGAACACGTAAGCAAAAGAGTTATAAGCAAGTGGTCACCATATTGTAAAGATATATACCGCCCACACCATAACTTCAAGCACAGTATCAACTGTTTTTTTTTGTAGTGTTCTGTCTGAGGACAGGTCCTTATGAACAGGATCCTTCCATCCTTTTCTCGGACTGGGACCTGTTCATATACGTTCTTGGCAGATGATCCAGAAGTGGTTTGCCATTGCCTTCTTCTGTGTGTGAATGGAGAAACCGGGGAAGCCCCCGGAGGAAAACTCCGTGTTGCCTAGACCACGGCCTCGCCCAACACAAGTTATAAATCCGGGCACCGCTATCAACTGTTACTAAACATTATGTGTGATAGTGAAGCTTCTAAAGCATACACCTACTGGCGTATGTCCCACTAATCTTATCAGACAAAAGCATTCAGTTCACCACATGACAAGTCCTGTGACCGCTGAATGTTTCAGTGGACACTTGCAAGAAAATTACTTTGAACTGTCAGCAATTAGCTGGGTCACAGTGGTTAAAATATTTCCTTAAACTGCGGAACCGTGATTAAGAGCCTCAGGTAAGTGGTAAATGTTTTCAGCTCAGGTCATAAGCACACAAATACAAGAAGCAACATGCTACTGATGAATATCATCCGTGCTTCCAGATGTACTACGTCTATTATATCATTAGTTATAGTGCGTATGTTGTTTTCATTTTCATTAAAATATGTGCCTTAAATACCTTTATGTGTTTCCTTGGATTTCCAGCTAGCTCACTTATTTTTTCAGCACGTTTGTTTCTTGTTATGATGATTCCTATCTGGCTAATTGGATTCTGATCAAAAAATTCATCAATGAAACCCTCCAACAACTGAAACAAAACAAAATAATTAAAGACGCATGGCAGGAAGCGGAGATAAAATACACTGTTTTGAAAATAATTTCACATAGTAAGTGAAAGCAACATGGATCAAGTTTCTGAAAGACAGCTTCCACACCAGCGTCATGAAACTCTTCAAAGCAGAGGGACGTCTTTCACTGCATTCTATGGAATGATTTTACTACAGGCATCTGTAATTACTAGCATGACACATGTTGAGATAATTTTATATTTGTTGTGTTTAAAATTAGCCAGGATATTATTTTTTATAAAATTATCTACCCACCTCCATACAGCAGGATTCTTCAGAAGCCAACAGTCCCCTCAGCTGTTCAATAAATTCACTCTACTTTATGGAATGTTACGGTTCATTACCTATTGGAATTTAACCGTTCAACCCCCTTCAAATACCCCTCCCAAGTACCGCTATTCTTCTTTAATCAGGAGTAGCTGTTACACGAGCACATCACAGCTTACTAGAAAATGAGTATATTCAAGGTCTTCAAGTATTAATCATTACAGTAATTCAAGGAATTTATTACACCATCCTACAAGGATATGAATGTACTGAAATCCCTTTTATTACTGCACACTCAATTTACAAATCAACATTCTTCATAGCAACTGGTTATCCTTTCAAAGTACAAGGCGAATGGAGAAAAGTGTATTAAGAAGAGCTTGATAATTTGTATTCTTCACTTAACATTATTAAGGTGATCAAATCAAGGAATATGAGATGGGCAGGGTATATAACAAGCATGGGAGAAACAAAGAATGCTTACAGAACTTTAGCCAGAAAAACAAAAGACAGGAAGAGCTCACTTGGGATACCTCGGCACAGATGAGGGAATATGATAACAGATATTAAAGAAATATGATACCACTTAAGGGTGTGGACTTGAGGCATCCGGAGCTGAACAGAAACTAGTGATAAGCTTTTGTGAACATGATAATAAACCTATCGATGTCATATTATTATGAATAAACATGTTCACATGTTTTTGAACTCTATTTGTTACACGTCAATCAAGTATTTAAATTACCTTAATAGTACAAAGCTGTCGTGTGGGTTTTAAATCCTGATTACTCATACAATCCGAGTTATCGACCACCACGTAGAGGTGACGCATCATACCAAGCCGTGTATTACCATGTCTCTCTGCCTGTCGCTTCCTCTTTGCACGCTGAATTATTTCCGCCACCGATCCTTCAAGCAATCCTTCATCATCCTCCTGAATTGCCTCCCTTTTATTAACACATAAATACATTAGTCTCTTCTTAACGGTAATACCAATGCCATTTCAGAATAACTTATAAGCACTACCTTACTAATTGGAGAAATGCCAGGAGAGTTTGTTTGTAACTGATTCTACATATTACAATAATAAAGAAATGTTATGCCTACTTGGGCACAAAATTCCACATCAAATCAAAACAGAAGAGACATTTCTATCCTGATCCCCTCAGAATTGAAGTGTATTATGTGAGTTTTTAGTCCCAATGGAGATAAGCATTTCTGCCAAAATTTACTGCTTGATGGCCACCAAATTTTTGAAAGCAGAAATCCAAAGTTGTGAAAGAAAAACTTGATTTTAGGGCATTAGTTGTCTTAGAAAAATGGCATAATGCATACCCTAATTGAGAACCAGAGCTAATAAAATATTGTTTCTAATATCTGTTATACCAATATTCAGCACAGTTATATTTTCAAGTTCTTAAATTTGATTTTTATTTGTATTTTTCAAAATGTGGTATTCAATTTTTTTTTAAATAAACTGTATGCAAGCAACTATTATTTAAAACATCTGCAAATATCAAGTTTGGACTGCAATGGGATTGGGTTTTGTGAAGCAGTTTACTGTAAAGAGTAACATGAATTGTACTGATGAGGCAACTTCAAGCAACCCTGTCATTAGCATAAACATTAATGTAAGCACATTTCACCAACCAAATCATCAGGCAGCAACACAAGCAGAGATGTTATCACAGAGCAACGGCACAGCGAGAATGGAAAGCCGACAGAGCGACAGTTTAGTGGCTGAGGCTGCCAATAGCGGAACTTAATAGTAATTTTAAGTGCCCAAATCAAAGTAAAATTATTCACATCCAGTATTTTTAGAGCAATATTTCTGAAAAGTGTGAAGACTAAAACTAAAGCTGCTGCTGTACAACATACCACGTCTTTTCATATCCAGTTTCCCATCTGTATTCCTTCCCTTCATCTTCTTCAGCCATTACACCTGAATAGACACACATACATAACAAACTGCATATAGCACTATGTTACTAATGCATTTTTCATAGAAATGTATCACCAATTAAAACATAAATATGTCAATATGTGTTCACATCCATACATGAACTACATACACCAATCAAAATCTTTTAAAATTAAATAAAGGTAATTCAAATGTAGTAAACGAGCATTTCATAAAATGTTCTCAAGTTCAAAAAATAAACTATTTTAAAAAATATCTTAATACAATTATTTTCCCCCCTTTTCACTAGCCAACATTTCTGTACAATGACAGACACCTTTTTCCAAAATTTATTGCAAGACTAATAATGCAATAAATACCCTACAGATAAACAAATACATATAAAGAACTACATAAGAGTTTTCAAATAAACTCTTCATTTAGTGTGATAATCATTTCTCCGTGACATAAATTCATAAAGAGAATAGAATGTTTGAGTCAGAAAGGAATACTTTTAATGCAATGAAGTCTTATCAGGTGATCGGACAAGTAAGTGTGGAATTACAATCCAATGTTTCAGAGACTGTGTCTGCCTCCAACATCACAGCTTACGTGATAACATAAGTGCCCATTGTATTTGTACCCAGAACTGGCAATCAGAGCCTCTGTCCCCTGTGAATGAGCCAATAGGAATATTTATTTCTTATTTGTAGTTTATTTAACAATGCTTTTCAGTAGCTTAGACTATACAGTGTTGAATGAGAGGATGAATTGGAAAGAAGCGGTTGTACTGAAGAAGGGACTGAAAAAACACAGAAGCCCCCAGTCAGGATAACCAGTCTCTGGGCTGAGATTTGAACTCAGAACCTCCTAAATACAAAGCAGGAGCGATAACGGCTCGACCATGATGTTTGGTCCAAGAGGAAGAGTGGACAGAATCAGGTGTTCAGTCATCCAAGTCTTCACACAGCCTATGCTGCTCAACCCATACGACCTGGGCCTGTCATTGATTCTTCCTTCGGTTGTTGCTTCATGGCCCTACTTTGTTAGAGCATGTTGGTGTCTGGGTTCCAGGATCAACTCAGAGTAAATACAATGAGTCTGTTAAAGTTGCTGGGATGTAGCCAGATCTCAATTGCCTCTTTCACTACATGAACCATGTAGTCTGCTGTTCTGCCCAGTATTGTGTGTCCTTAAAGTGACATGGTGGCCTTCCTTCAACAATGCTGATCACAACAGCCACTGACATGTCTGGATGGTACAGACATACGTATCAATCATGCTCCTTACACTTTGCTTTGATGGTGTGGCCCATCTGCCTCACCTACACCTTACCACATTTATTAATAAAGCAGTATATGCCTTGGACCTTAAGGCCTAGGACATCTTTTACTGGTCTCAATAGGTGCACATTCTTTTAGGCTGAAATGTGCACAACTGTTATGCTGAATCTCACCACCAGCCTGCTCATTCTGTGAGATGTGCCTTAAATAAAGGGTAGAGTGCCCCCATCCTGGCCAGCTTCTCCTGCTGTCCTCTGTTTAGAGTTGAGGGCAAATGGTTTGCACTATCAGGTTGAAATGTAAAGAGCATATATGATGCATATATTATACCAGCAAGACAAGTTAGCAGTCATCAATCACAGCATCACTGATAGTCACCACATCAACTTCTCTGAGACCACGGCATTGGCAAGAATGGCAGGCAAACAGACTGCAAAGTGAAAAAAACAACTGAGATCTGGCTATTTCCAAACAAACTGAACAAAGACACAGTAACAACAATTAAAAGAAGGATCAAAAACTGGCAGTAATGATTGTACAGGTTATGCAACAGAGGCTGTGTGATGATGACTTGGATGACTGGCCACCTGATTATGCCCACTCTTCCTATTTGCTCACTCACAGGCAAGAACACTGGCTCTCAGTACCTGTCATGGTTACAAATACCATAAACAGTCATTGTCACTCATACCTGATGATGGAGGCAAACTGAAACTCCACACTTACTTGGCTGATCACCCAAGAAGTCTTCATTGTACTCAGTAATCACGAAACCTTAAATCTTACAGAATGCTTTTAATGCTACTTGTCAATTTAAACTGACTTCTTAGACGAAGCACTCAATATTTGGGGAGACAATTCTATCCCTTCATAGCAGACATCTTTTTAATGTCAGCAATTAGTCTGTGAAGATGGTGTGTTTTATTGACTACATGGATCGCCGAGTTTACTTCATAATATTCCTCTTTAAGAATTGTAAATGTTGTTATGGCTGGTACTCACTGGCAAGTACGTCAATTGTTACATACGTCTCACTCTACAACAGCATCTGCCCTGGTTTAAAGATGACAGACTTTAAATATCATAAGAAATTCTAAAACATATCCTCAATCATATATTTTATTCATTCTTCTACATTCCACTACAGTCCCCAAACTTCAATGCTTTCGACCTCTCGAAGGAGACCCATGTGTAAATATTGATATTTACGTAGATCATATACATCCTAAATTTGGGTGTTTTCATAAATTATGTTATTATAGATAAGTTCAATGCGTCTGTCAACATGGGGCTCAATGAATCATGCAATTTCTCTCTTTATACTTACAATTACACACCCAAATACCCAGAATATTGAAAACCAGGCAGGTGAGCAGCTGTTATTAGGAAGACCAAACTTGCAGATCACAGAAATTTAAATATGAACTGACTTCTTCACATTCCCGCCATGTACAGACGGATGGCGCCACGGTCGATGTGACGCGCTACAACCATAGAACGGTGTAATGGACAGTGATCTAATCAAGAAAAACGTACTTTTCATTACAATTACGTTGAATGTAAGTGTTCAGTGGCAATAAACATAATTAATAATGTATTTGTGTTGGTCTGGGTAAGGTTTTATAATGTTCAGGTACTTTCACTGGCAAACAACTATGCTATGGAACGTTCTGATTACACATTGCCATTTTGACTAGCTGTTTCATATCCATGCAAAGACGGGCAGTCTCTTATTTCGATAGGTTGAAATTATTAGATGTGATGATCTCTTAGAGTAATGGAATACATTACGTTGAATTGAGTGGTGATTGTGTGCAAAATGGTGGAACTAATTTTAATTGAAGGCGAATATAACCTATGAATATCGTAGTTTGTAGGTTCTTTTTATAGACCCTGGACTAGAAACGGAAGATGTCTGAACAGGCAATTGAAGCTACATGATTTGCTGCATGCGTAAACTGTAGAAGAAATGCAAAGAGATTTTACATCGAACGTAGAATATATTACTTCATTTAAACCATGTTTTGTCTTGCTGTTGTTTTATTTCATAGAGAATTCTTAGTCAGTTTTGAACATCCAATCATTGCAAGATCAGTGCCTGCCATGGAGGGTGAAGGAGGAGACCCATTATCTGTGAACAAAAATCCAAGGATCATAAAAGGTAAATTTTCAATCTTGTGAATTGCTTTTGTTGTATTAGTTGACTGCATCAAGCATGAGCATATAATTCTCAACTTTATTTTATTGAACATTTCCCTGTTTTTTCTAGTTGTGTTTTCTCTGTTCCCTTATAAATTTATTTATTTTATAATTCATATGGTAAATGTGATTTGGTGCCCAACTATTATATATTTATGCATTTGCCATCATTTTAAAATATATGACAAATTCTCAATGCATAATTAAATACTATTGTAGATGAAATTAAATATTTGCATAAGAATTCAATACTGGGCTTCCTGGAATGGACAGATTGAGGTTCATAGTTCTGTACACAAAATATAACCCCAAAACTTTTCTGTCACAGAATTCTAAAACAGAGCTCATCAAACACAGTTTATATAGAATATTTATTTAAATCTTTTGTTCCATGCTTTTCAATATTTTGGCACTTATCAATTGTGTCATAAATTTAAGGGTAAATTGTTTATAAGGCTTCACCTTCTGCCCTTCCATCTGAGACAAGATACACATTATATTGGTTATTTAGTGATGTCTACATCTGATAGAAATGCCCCAGTGCTGGGATCATTTTCTGCCGAACATTAGGATGTATTATTTGAAGTTAATTTATACGAGACTGCCTATTTCTGTTATTGATTGCAATAGTTTAACCAAGTGTTGGACAAATATATTTCTTCCATGTGAAGTTGAGCATGATGCCAGCCTGAAAGTAATCTTTTACAACTGCATATCTGAGAGCTGGTTTTCCCATATGGAAATTTTTTGAGCTACATTTTTAGTCCTTACGTATGCGATAAAAAAATCTGATTCCATATGAGTATGGATGATTTTGTAGCAAAGTCAGAATCAGATTTACATATTTCCAGGGTACAAAGGCCTGTTTTCTTTGTTGATGAGGCAAAAACAGTATTCCTCTGCAAGAGTTATTTGTGCATTATTCATGAATCTACACTGACCAAATATTGGCATTCTCCAAAATTCCTTTTATATGCTTAGTTGAGTCTAATACAGAATTTAATGTAACCTGTTCAGAGAATTTTAAATGAACTGGTTGCATGTGCCTGTCCCATGATTAAACTTAGTGTTATAAACACCATATGAACAGTCATTGGAGGCCTCTAGCCTTGGTGCTTTTTTAACTTCTTGTAATCAGTTGTGTCAACTTCTGAGGTGAGTGCAACACTACACACTTCAGAGTTTTGTGTAGTAATGGATATTTGCTATAGAATAGTACTAGTATGTGTATGACCTCTTTCGTTTCCTGATTCAGCTATTGTAAATGTCGTGATTATGGTCCTTTATACTGTCACTTATTACATAACTTACATTGTTTATTGTACTATTTTTGGATAAGAGAGTGGCAATTCTTTTATTATGCTTCTGGTTTCTGATTGTAGTAAGTTGGACTGGGAGAGTAAATAGAATGCAATTTGTTTTGTTTCAGCTGCCCAAGAAGAAGTAGCCTGTTTGGATGTACTAGTCTGTGGCACCTGCCATTATGTGTTTCATTTTATTGAAGCTTTCGAAGAACATAAGAATGCCAATGAGTGTGGAAAACCTACATTCAAGGCTAACCTGTCTGTGAGTTTTTTCTTTCTATTCTTTTGAAGATAATTACATTTGTTTGCAACCAGCACGTTATTTTAAGAATCTCAAAACAATGAAGAACTCGTCGACCAACAACATTATTAACAGTGATGGTAACAGTAATAATAATGACAACAACAATAAGAGTAATAATCTTGTATAATAAGTATGTTAAATGATAATGTTCCGAAAAGGGAAAGTTACTGTACAGGCAGGTTATCTAAGTAGCCCAATGATGGTTGAATGGGGAGAAGGATCAGAGCAGAAAAAGGGTTTGAGTACAGGTGTGCAAGACAATATTTGCTCTGCTCTGATCCTTTGACCAGTTGCTCAGTACTAATGTGTGGTGACGCACGTCAGCGATGGCTAACACCAGCTCAAGCAAGTTTGACAAAGTAATTCACATTTAGTAATGAGAGGGAAATCATTAATGATAGGATTCTCAATCAGTATTTTCTTTTGGCCTCCAGTAGAACACCTGCTCAAATGACCTTCATGTGACAGGATAGCTCTAGTGGCGTACGACTGCACATGTGTGTGTGTGTCAGTGTGAATATATGTCTAAACGAAGCTTGTGATGTCCTCAAATCCACGAGTATCTCTATCGTCACCCAATAACATTTGAAACAACTGGCAGATAGATTTTCATTAAACTTGGTATGAATGTTATGAAATTAGAGGAAGATCATATTTCTGTGGCATATAGAACATGGTAGTTGCACATTTGTTTTTGTGCTGATAAATAATTTTACTGTAGCTAGGCATAAGTTTTTAAACAAATAGATTATAATCACGTGCTTAAATTTTGATATTTGAAAACACGTTGATTTCTGCATTTTGCTTTGGTCCCAGCTCAGATACCTCAGAAGGAATGTGGAAATTGCAGTGTGGATGGCTGCAAAGAGAAGGAAATTTATGTACAGTCCAGAATGGAAGTATTGGCAAAGTTTTCCTTTGCTCTGCTCCCAAATCTACATACTGATTTCCTTTGGTATTTATCAGGTATTACCAAACAGGAAGAAGATTGTAAAGATGTGGTCATCAGAGTATGCAGACATTTGAAAGGTGTACATCTTCTAGCAGCATGTGGGACAGAAGATCATACCCTTAATTGGTTAATTATTTATTTTTAAAGGGAACTATGCAGTTTTCTTATAAAAATGCTTTGTTGTGCCTAGGAATCAAAACCTCAAGTTTGGGCATTTCTGCTATGGAAAAGTTCTGTAATGAATCAACACAAAGCAGAAGGGGAAAAAGAGCCAATCAATTCATGGAAGCTTTATCAGCGATGGTGCAAGATGGCAGAAAATACAAGGGAATCATGGATTGCAGCTGGCAAGTCCATACAAACTTTTTCTACACTAGCCAATGCAAAAATAGCAGAAATAATCCATTCTGGGAAGAATCCTATAGAGGTGTGTGTCTTTTATGGATAAAAATTTATGTGGCTACTTCTCTTAATGAGTCACAAAACAAAATGAACAGAAACGTCTAATCTAGAATATTATTCTTGTAGGTGAGGCCTCGAGTTGTTACTACAAAGTCTATGCCGTTGTCTGACGATGAGGATGATGACTATAAATCAGAAGAATTGGGTAGAAATGATGCAGAAATAAGTAAGTTCCTAATTGTAAATGAAAACGTAGAATGTTTTGAATTTAAATATTTCTTGCCTTCACATTCGTTTGAGCTTTGTTGATGTAGTGAAGCTTTCGTGGCGACTGAAATTGATGTTGATTCATTTGAGCTTTATTGATGTAGCGAAGCTTTCGTGGCGACTGAAATTGATGAAAGATTCTCGGGTTACAAGCTGCATCAGTTGACTGAACAGTGAATGAACCTTCTGCCGGGCCTGGCATCCTGTGACACACTGCTGTCCGCCCAGAAGGCCAAGCCAGATAGAGTGAGCGTGTGACGTCAACTGCCAGGTCCCATTGGCCGGCGCGACAAAGCAATAGACAGGCTACCAGCAACATCATACAACCTGCCATCCACCGCCAGTTTCCCCATCAGTGATTGCGCAACAAAGGATCAGATTTGTTACCCAGCAGAGATTGTTCTTGAAATGTTGGCAGAAGATGTGGTTTATTCACCGTTCAGCCACCTGATGCGTCTTGTAACCCGAGAATCGTTTATAAACTTCGGCCTTGTTGTTTTTGTGTATGGATTGAATCGTGTGGATTACATACTGGTGTTAGATGTGAAGATAAATGTTTCATAATATGTTCTTGGCTTCATCATCGTCATTCATGTCCCAAACTGCGGCTAACTGACTGCTGTCTACTTTCTTGTAAGAAATTGCAACAATTTATTGCAAGGTATGCTCATTGTGTTACAGAAACAGAACAGCGGAAAGTTGTACGTAAGATTGTACGTATACCTGTGGATAAGAATGGCGGCGTGAGAGACGTACGCCCAATACGTGGCAGCCAAAATATGAAAGAGATACGGACTTACTCTATCAAAAAGGATCATTTAGGCGAAGTAACACTGGCAAGAACTGATATGAATGAATCCGTATCCGCTGCCATTGAAAGTGGTGGAGATGAAGAAGACGAATCTCTGGAGTCTGAAGATAAGGAAAATGTAAAGGAACCAACAGAGGAAGCAACAGAATCTGCAAAACCAGATAAAGAAGATGAAGAAAAGAGCACAGTAAGTAGTGAATGGCCAATATTGTTACATTAGTCATACACTGTAATGCTGCATTTAATAATAATCATTCAGTCTGAATATGTTTTGTTGGCTGATGTACTTTTGGGTTTATGTCTGATACAGGAAATGTTGCAGACTGAAACAGGAGAATCTAAAATTGTAAAAACTGGAGACAGTAAATTAGTGAAGGACCCTCTTGGTGATGGCATGGTTGAAATTAAGGTGGAGAATATGAGTAGTGAAGAGGATCAAGTGGAGGAGCCAGCAGAACAGGGAGAAGCAAGCATGAAACCTAGGGTTCGGAGTTCATTTGGCCCCGCGCCACCAGCACAGCGACCTGGCACGGTGAAGAGGAGACCTCTACCAGACATCAAACTGCCCGGTAACAGGATGATGCGGAAAAGTGACAAGAACAAAGACAGTGAAGATGAATATGTGGTAGAAAAGATTCTTGCAAAGAGGTTCAACCCAAAGAGGAAGTACCATGAGTATTTACTGAAATGGGAAGGATATCCACAGTAAGTGTCAGAAACCACTATGCATGGTTTTCTGTAATTTTTATATAATCAGATGAGATTGGCGGCTGGGCTGGTAGGTAGGTATGTAGATAGATAAGTGCCTAAGAATTTGAGAAAATGTTAAGGGAAGAAACAATCTGTGTGACTACATAGATAGGATAATAATATATGGTATCGTAAACAAAAAATGAGCTGGGATAGCTCAGTCAGTATAGTGACTAGCTACGGGCTGGACGACCGGGGTTCGATCCCCGACGGGGACAGAGGATTTTTCCTCTAGCCTCTGCGTCCAGACAGGCCTGGGGCCCACCCAGCCTCCTCTACAAGGGGTACCGGGGTCCTTTCCCGGGGGTAAAGCCGGCCGGGGCGTGATGCTGACCACTCACCCCCACCTAGTACTGAGGTCAAGGAAGAGAGGAGCTATACCTCCACTCCCCCCAAACGCCTACTTGGCGTATAGTGGGACAGACTTTACTTTATCGTAAAAAAAAAAACAGGATGTAGATTGAAATTATAGGCGCAGGATGAGCTGTTGTGAACATGTGTATGAAATTTTGGGTTCTATAAAAGGCAAGGAATTTCTTCGGCTATCTGAGAAACTACCTCTATGGAGGTAGTTTCTTTATGTCTATTTTTACTGGTGTTGTGTAGAAAGCCGATACATGTTACCATATGAGCAAAATACATTTCCTCGGAAAGGAGGGTATGATTAGTTCATCATTAATTTAGCATCAACTTCAGGGTTGTGTGCCACTGAATAAGACATGATGATGGTATAGGTTATGGCCTCTTTTAATATACTGCCATGGCGTCAGTTAGCCTGGAAGCACAGAAATTACCTTAAATTTACCAGTGTCCTACACGGAAGTCGGGTCTGCTAACTTTATGCGGTCTGGTTGACATCAAGGGGCCTAATTGAAAAAAAAATAAGTATGTAATACTAGCGTCATACATTAAATTAATCTCTCCATAATTTATTTGGACACAGATTATTGCTTTGTGACTATTATTTTCAGTGATCAGAATACATGGGAACCTGTGGAGAATATGGCAGCGTGTGACAAACTGGTTGAGACATTTGAACGTAACCTTGCAAGGCAGAAAGCAATGCAGCAGAAAGCTGCAAATCAACTGTCCCACCAGAAACTAAATCAAAGCATAGCTGAGAAGCCTCTGATAAAGGTTAAGAGTTCGGTAAAATCTGAAGAGTTGAATCAACCTGGACCTAGTGGTGTAACAAATTTAGAGAGGTAAGGAAATTGAACAGATGATTGTCTAGCCCATCAGAACTCTGATATATTTCACCCCCTCCTATATCATCTTTGTATGGATAAATGTAGACGTGCCTCGTTTCCTAAGAACAATCAGTGTCTTCCTGTTCTTGACATATACAGCATGTCTCAAAAATACACATACACACAGGGTTAATATTCTGTGTAGATCAAAAGTTCTTGTGCAGAAAATCATAGACAAAATTAGCCCACTGTGTGTACTAATAAATTTTGGCATAAAGTAATACAGTGAAACCTCTATCCATCGTTCCCGGAACTATCGTTTTCCCGGATGCATCGTCCGTTTTGTTCGGTCCCGAATACATCCCATATAAAATAATGTTACATTTTCCCGCTTCTATCGTTCCTCGAACTATCGTTTTATCGCATCGATCGTTCAAAAATCGTAGTCCCGGCCCACAATTTTCCCGCAATGATCGTTCCTGAGAATTTAAAATGCTGGGTTTAGAGATAAATTAATACCGAAAGACGCATAATGTTTTTGGAATACACAGTAGCGGTAACCTGTTATGTCGCCCAACCAGCACATTCTTTTGGAATGAGGGTCAGCGGTGCAGGGGTGATAGTTGGAGAGAATGGCGGCGCGCATTGTCAGAAATTTTACGATTTTAATTAGGGTGCACTCATATTTCGTTCCAGCGATGCCAGATGGCATGTGCAGTGTGAATTTCTTCACAAATGCTTTTATTACAAGGACAAAGGAAAGGCGAAAGTGCTGCTGTGGATGTGGAAATAACGGAGCTGTGGCTCGAGAGACTGCCAACACTGCTGGAGGGATATGAGCCGCGGGACATTTATAATGCGGATGAGACCGGACTTTTCTACAACGCCCTCCCGGATAGGACTCTGGCATTGAAAGGTGAATCTTGCCACGGGGGAATACGTGCAAAACACCGAATTACTGTTCTTCTGTGTGTTAACAGTGACGGTAGTGACAAACGGGTTCCGATTGTAGTTGGAAAATCACGAAAACCGCGTTGTTTCAAAAACATGAAAAAACTGCACCATGTGGTCTGGTAATGTGTAATCTTGGGGACTTAAATGGTCACATGATGTTTATAGATGACCCTGTAATTTAAAAACATCACTTGCATTACAGCAAGTAATTCATTGAACTATGAACATTGTTAACTCTACACAGCTCAAAATATATAAAATTGAGGCATTCTTGAAAATGACCCAAAACACAGAAAACACGCTGTTTAAATTCGAGTTTCACGCAACGAATCATGGTATTTGTGTGTTTAAGCGTGTAATTCATTACACGCGTATTTCATTTGTTCGTTACTTGAGTGGTGTTCAGTTGAGCTGATCTCATCAAGCAGCGAGAAACATCTGATCTCATTTGAACATTCTCAGTTTGATTCTTGTGTGGAATGGCCTGTGGTAATATGTATAATAATTTCTTCACCATAATCTTTCTCATAAAAGTGCTGTAGATGTTCATTAGCCCAAAACAGCATTTTGCTTCTGTACAATTCCATCAGAAAGGAAGTGAGCTTCATCTTCAGTGTGGAGTACAGTCTCTTCATGTCTTAACCAAAACAACAAAATTCAGCCTGTTGTCATGCTTCTGCTCTCAGATCTAAATGCAATATCTTGATGTCCCCAATTGGCCTTTGTTATTCATTTCCTTGAACTTTGCTGTATTACCACTCTTTGTTTTTGTATTTAAGGGGGGGGAAGGATGCTTAGAATTTGCAGATATTTTAACTCCACTGCTGAATCCACCTCTTCAAACTGCCTTGTGAGTCTCCATATTGCTTGTTTTGTAGAAGCCCGCCAGGTATCATAGTACACACAAAAATGTGTCTTTCTAAAGAAACTTGAATTCTCCTTGACAGCAGGCCTCCCGTGGACTGCTATTTGCTGTGTCGCTACAGCAACATAATATTTTGATGTCAAATATAATAATTTTCATGAATTACTGCATTCACTAGCAAAGTATGAAATATTCTAGCATTGTATATTTTTAACAGACATAATAAATGGTAAACATTTCATGTGCCACCTTGTAAATTCTGCTTAGCCTTCACTTTGTTGTGTGTTAACAGCCGTCCAGTACGAAGCAGCAAGAAGAGAGCTCTGGAGCAAGTTAAGTCATGGTGTGGTTCTATGACCAAGAAAGAGTTTGAAACAGGTATGGCAAAGTGTTTGGTAATGGCATTTGTGCGATCTGTTTAATTGCCTCTCTCATGCCACTTGTTAAAATTTACAGGTAAGAGGAAAGCTGGTGAAGAAAGTGACTCTGATGATGACATTATACCTGACAAGAAAATAAAATTAGAACCGCCAGATGATGATTGGAGTGGAGGTGAAGTAGGGACATCCTTGAACAGTGGTGGATCTTCAGATGATGACTCGTGCGAGAAGAAACGACCTAAACATAACATAGGATCCATGCAAGGAAATCAAAACAAAGTGGTGGGGATTATTCACAAAGCATCGATGGTACAGCTTGGAGATGATGTTATAAAACGAGGACCTGGCAGACCAAAACGGCTACAGTCGATGGAGTCGAGTAATACTATAAATGGAATTGCTAAAAATAAAAGTTCCACAACAATGGAGAAAGATCTGGCCGTGGAATTGGGTTTAGCATCCGATTCCTCCCCTGAACATAAAAGTAAACCGCAGCCCATCATAAAACAGTCTCCTTCATCACAGCCTCCAGTTCTTGTCGCCAACTCAAAAGGTGTTATTAAGGTAGATCCACGACAGGTCCCAAACCTTACTTCAGGTGTCTATATAGTATCCAATAAATCTGGTATTGTTAAACTGAATGATCTGCCTTCATCATCACCAGTGAAAGGAAGATTGTCACCCACAAAACAGTCTCCACAAGGGCAGAAAGTTGGAAGTGTAGGAGTCGTGGTCCCAGGAAGCAAGCGGGATGGTATGCTGACGGGCATTGTGCGCAAACCTCTCTCCCAACCAAGCGCAGGTGCTCGTTCTGTTTTAGGACAAACTTCATTAAAGCAAGGAACTCCACTTAGAGCACCCCTGAGTGTGAATTCTGGTTTGGTGCGAGTTACGCCACCAGGAAGTTTGAACAAGTCTATGTCAGGATTATCTCATATAGGGACTTCGGGGGGAAGACCTCCTCTCATGTCACCAAGGGTGGGTTCTCGGCCATTCTCTTCTCCCCGCCCACTTTCTATGTTAACTCAAAGACCTGGTTTGTTGCAGTCGTCACTGCGACCAGGACTACAGCCCAGATTACCTGGGATGTCTCTTAGGCCAAGCTTAGCATCTCCTGGTTTTAAAAGGTCACCTTTAGGAATACCAGGAGTTCAGACCAAAATTACTAGTGCTCTGAGGCCAAAAATGCCTCTTCAATCACCTTTAGGAAGGGGGATGATACGAACGCCTTCCCCAGCTACACAGGTTAAGAGTGGAATTAAACCTATTCATGCTATGTTAGGCAAGGCTGTGCAGAATTATGGCCCATCACCAACAATGAGTGCACAACAGAGATTAATATTAGCTAAGAAACAGCAGGAGGCAAAGGAGACTGCTGTCTTGGTGAAGCAGGGTTCTGGCGGTGTACCAATGCTGCCCGGTTCGGTATCCATGAAACCTAGCATAAAAGCAGATGATCCAAGGTTAAGGAAACCAATAGGGAGGGGAAGGGGCAGAGGTCTTTCAGTGGGTGAAGGCATAAATAACGGTAGACAGAGGGATAGCAAACTGATAGATGGTGATGGACTTCATATGGAGTTCCATGAAGTTCACACAAGCAGTGACAGTGATGATGGAGTCGAGTCCTTACCAGAGCTTCCAATGGGAGATCTTCCCTCATTGGAACCAGACAGCCCACCACGACCATTTACTTTATGTCCCGAAACTGGAAAGATTTTGGGTCAGGCGGAAGGAGAACCAACACCAGTTCCAAGTCCAGACCCTGAGCCAGAGCCTGAACCAGTACCAAAAGCAGAGGAGGAGGCAGAAGAAATATTACCTGACAAACGAGAAGGCTCGCCTATTCGAATTGCTGAGGAATCTCCATATCAAAATGATGAAGAAGAAACATTACTAAAAGTGGAAATGAGCCCTGGTGGAACAACAGGAACTGTGATAGAAAGTAATGTTGCTGATCCAGAATCATACATGAATACGCTAAGGACAGAGGAGGGCTTGACCGTTACAAAGATCAGTACCACGAATACTAGAGTAAATGATTCTCAGCAGCAGGTTACCGTGTCTACGCCGAAAATAGGTGGGGGGATTTCTGTCCCGGCAAGGAAATTATTTCTAGACTCTACGAGCAACAATGATAGTAGTGGTAGTAGTGGTGTTGGCCCCAGTAACGGTGGTGGCAGTAATGAAATGAACACCGAATTAGTGACATTTGGGGAAGATGGTGTAGTGTATCAGATTTCAACAGAGGAGGAGCAGGAAGGGGGGGAAGCAATGTTAGTGTCTGCAGACGGAGAGCCACAGTGCGTGTATGTGACGGCTGAACAGGCGGCAGGAATGGAGGACGGGTCTGTTCTCACTTTGGACACGGCTGTTGCCGAGGCTGTGGCACAGCTGATGCCTGAGGTGAATGTGATAGCAGGTGGAAGTGGTTGTTCGCAGTTTTACATGAAGGAAGTGGATGCAGATAGTGAACAACTGATGATCACCTCAGGGGTTGAGGACGGAGAGGAAACAACCCAGGCCCAAGTTGTGGCGCAAGTCGTCCAGGAGGGAGAACCAATGTCTGGAACAGGTGAGAATTGTGGATACAGTAAAGTTCTTTCTTAAAACGGTGAACTGTACATTTTGGAAGTTTTTTACTTGGGTGTCCAGAGAAAGGTATCGTAGTTCTGTTGTGTTTTTTTCCATTCCACCTATGGATCTTAAATCCTCAGCAAGGGGTAAGAGTGATGTGTACTTTTTCATAGATTAGGCAGTCTGTCTTAACGTGTATCTGGCAAAGAAGAAATAAATAGTATTGCTAGTATAAGTCAATCTGCCAAATTGGCCCAACACAATTTTATTGTGGTCTTTCTGTGCACTGAAAAATAATTATGGTCACTTTTTCACGTTATAATTTTTCTGTGAACAACTTTGTTTCACGTGTTAATGCACTTTTCTGTATCGCTCGGTCACGTTAATTTTGACATCAGTAGAACTGCAAAGTGACAACCAGCAGAAGAGAAAGAGAGAATGACTAAGCGGTGGTGGAAGTAGAATCCTACTCTTATTTCTCAGTATTTTGTGGGGGTTGTAACCTTTTTCTTATCATAATAGGAGATTAAAATGTACATTGGGCTGCTGGCTTGTCTTAAATGTGGGATTTAATGGCAGCTGGACCCTATGTGTGTTGTGACACAGTAACGGTTAAATTTGTTGGCTATGTTGGGTCCCTTTAAGCCTAGTAACAAAAGTGTGGACCATAACAACTGAAAATGAAGTGTCCTGTTTATTTGCATGTAGTGATATTTCCTTCCCAAGTTCTTCATGCTGTAAAGCTGTTGGCACCTATCCATTGCAGTTGAACAGTTGTACGTTTCCAATAGATATGAATAGCGTGTTAAGCACAGAAATGTGCAACAATTTTTAATTCAGCAGAGTACTGTACCTGCCGAGATGAATATTGTGATAATCTAAGAGATATGGGTACATAGTGATCAGCTTCATAATTTGTGCTATTTACTAATTATTCTTAGGATGATCAAATAAAAGATGAATAGGGAATATAGCATACATTCATAGTTAATAAATACAACATTTTGGCTGAACGAGGTGAAGGGAAGAGATGACGTGGGAGCATTTGACATAAATTGAAGTATATTATAAAAGAAGTCTTAAAGAGGGTGTAGGCTGGATTCAACAGACTTAGGATAGGGTCCATTGGTGGTCTGTTGTGAACATGGTAATCAGCTCTATGGTTCCATAAGTGGCCGGTTGAATGATCGTCCAATTCTCAGGAAGAACCCTGTTGTGTGGAGTGAGTTCATTACCTCTTTGATGTGGAATAATTGTAGATTAGAATGAAATAGTTTCAGTTTAAGGAATTTGTACTGTAAAACAGGTGATGTATTTTCTGTGTCACGTTGTGTGTTGTTAGGTGGAACAAGGAGAGTGGTGCTTCTCCTGCCAGACGGAAATCTCATGATGACTGAGGTGGATGAGGAACAGTATGCAGCTTTAGAATTGGACAAATGAAGCACAGAAATCTGCTCACGGTTTCAAATTGTGATGCCAATACAGTTGGAGCGCTGAGCTGAAATAATGTGATGCGTCTGACATTAAAGCAGTTTGAATATCTGCTAATATCGCACCCAGTCATTATATAGACATTTTCCCAATGTACCGAGTCTTGAAGCATTGCACGAACTCCACGTGATTATAAAAAGACTGGGAAGGAAGTGACTTTTTGTAATTTAAATTAGAATTTCTAATATGTTGGAATAGAGTTATTTTGATTTGAAAAAGAATTTTAAAACCTATTAGGATTCTATCTCCACAGATTGCTGTACAAAGTGTATAGCTTATTATTAATGACATGAATTTGGAATGTGAGTACAAACTTATATTTTATTTAATACTTGTAAACATGGTACATTACTTTCACATAATAAGTTAGTGTTTTGTGAAGTTTAGCAATGGACACAAATGTAGTAGGCAGAAGGCAGGCATTGCCATGGTAATGACACGAGGTTTTGTACGGTTATATTTTGCATGTCTCTGAATTATGAAGCTCATGATCAAATTGTTCCATGTATCAGTCCACTGTACCTTTTCAGTTATCACTTGACTTCTGTGCAACTGTTATGAGAAATATTAATAAACATGTCAGTGTGAATTGTTTGTTGTACATCACTTTATATCTGTTTAATGTACTGAATTTCAGGGGGAAAGTTTTAACATATTTAACTCAACTTTTAGTATAGTTGCTGATTCAGATACTAGACATAATATTGAGATACAACACCTGTAAATTCTTTGTGCTTTCAAATACAGCAAAACATTATTCAGAAATAGTATTATTAATTATCATAATCTGCACTTTGTTCATATGACATAGAGAAAGTTTGATCATGTGTCCATAATTTTCTAACCATGTTTTGAGTGCTTGAACATGAACCATAAAATCACAAATATCCACTTTTCTTTTCATTATTTTGTGAATTAAAAAATGTAGCTGAAATTCTGTATATTTGTTTATGATGTGGCTGTTTGTATATGTTCATATGTTGATGAAAGAATAATTATTAAAGTAATGGATTTGGTTGAAAAGAATGGGTGAGGAAGAATTTTTTTTCCTCATATACCCCATGTTTATGGAAATATAAACATGTTTTAAAATAAATAATGATATTGACAAAATGTTCAATATGCCATCAAGTGACACTGTACCAGTAAAGTGAGGTGAGGCTCGTGATGTTGCTACTTGATAATTTGTAATTAGATTTACTTTTGTCTCATTCAAGTCTGTAGAATGTTGTAAATATGCCAGCCCCACAATTATTTTGTGTAAACATGCATTATTCTCACCTTCAAATGTCATTATGCCCATTTCCCTCTGCATTTCTTATTGGAATTATTTTCTCTAAATAAATTATATACAGTTTCTAAAAGTGGACTTATGACTTTTTTCTTGCATTAATAATAAATAGTAGATGGAATGAGTAACTGGAAGAGTGGGAGTGGATGTTATTAATGAAGGGGTAGAACAGAAGCATACACCACCAAGAATAAACATTGCACACATTTTTGTCAGCTTTACAATTATTTATAGATACTGGCGGTTACGAAAAACTTGTTATTCTTCCGTGAATTTTATTTATACTTTGCGCATTTATTAACATATTAAACTGGCTGCTTGACATGATACTGTAATTCCACTTGTTAGAGTGACTTGCGCTCTACATTTACTAATCCAGCTGCCATTATCCTTGTCAGTAATACAGGGCCTTCGAAAAGAATGCTGGAATTTTAAACACCTGCAACTAAAGAATGAAAACAGATATGGCAATGTTGGTATTTGCAGTGTAATCATCAACTCAAACAGTTGTTGTGCACACATCCCAACTGTAAATGGACAACAGCTTACATGTTCTGCGTGATCAGGGCAGTGTCTGCCGTACAGCAGAAAGCATAGACTGTGTTGTATGCAAATCCATTATTCCAGTCCATCGTGAATTTAGACGCGAGTATGGTGTGAGACCACCTGATGACAAGAGCATTAGGAAATGGCATGAGCAATTTAGAGAGACTGGCAGTGTGGAAAAAAGACATTCTACTGGGTGGCCTAGAAGATATGATGAAGATGTGAATTCTGTTAGGCAGGCTTTTATGCGGAGTCTGACGAAGTCGATCTCCCAAGCAAACAATGGATAGGAAGAGGAGGACCAATTGCATGGCCACCTCATTCTCCTGATCTTTTGCCTTAGGACTTTTTTCTTTGGGGCTATCTGAAAGACTAAGTGTGCAGCCAAAGAGTGAATACGCTGGATGAACTCAAAGCATGCGTCACTGCAGCAGTTGCAAATGTTACATGGGACATGTTACAGCACGTCTGGCAAGAGGTTGACTGTAGGTGGGATGTATTCAGAGCTACAGATGGTGCTCATTGTGAAGTGTTCCTCTTCCACCAACTTCTTCACGTTACTGTTACAGGTACTGAATAAAATACTGCAAACAACACCCTCATTGTTCATTCCTAAGCTATATATACCTGAAATCTGAGCATTCTTTTTGGTAGATCCTGTATTTTAACAAGACTTGTTTGCACAACTAACAGTAACATTACTATTACATGTGTTTGGCCACATCTCTTAGTGGATTGTTTATTCCAACGCTGTCAAACATTGTGAGATACATGACATATGTATGCAAGTATTTTAGGCAAGAATAGTGTTTCTCAGAGAGCATATAAAGCTTGGATAAAAGTTTCAAATAAAACATTCAGTAAAATTAATAGAATCTTATAATTTGTTTTGAGGTGATTTGTATCAATTTATAATTTAGCTGTAGGCTAACCATCCACTCAACTGAAATCCCATTCAGATGTTTATGACAGCTGATGTCTGCAGATTCATACCATATTTGAAAAATTAAAATTCTCAAGAGATATAAGAATAATTCAGCAAATCATGTAGGCATTATTTACACATAGAGCTATAGGTCCAGTATCTGATTAATGGATTTTATACAGTGAAGCCCATGCAATTGATACTTCAGTAACAAATGAGTTACACATGGCCAGTTCCCCATAATTTGGCAACCTAACTACTCTTAGTTGTCCAGTTGGTGCACATGCATATGATTTCATAATTGATCACTTGCAAGGTCATTATATCTAAGAGACTGCCATTTTTGTGTGCAGGTTTCCATGGTACTACAATTATGAATGCTCACACAATTTTTATGCATGCTTTTTATATAGTGCATAAATGTAACATGTTTCTGAAACTACTGAATGGATGTCAGTTCAGTTTGGCACTGGGTGTTTCCTTCCTACAAACTGGATAAGGTCCTTTTCCCACGGATCTGGCTAGTGCCCTGCCTTGTCCAACCTGCTACTATATCTAACCTAACTTCTTGATGCACAACTTCCTCATTGGCACAGTGATGGAAATAGTGAGCCCCTCTGAAAAATTGGTCAGTATCTACCAGATTATGTGGCACAACATTCCAGAAGACAGCCATCTTCAAAAAGGCTCACTGTTCAAGGAATTGATACATGGTCTAGAATATGAAGGGTATGAAGTTCAGCAATTTCTTTTGAAAACATTGTTGTATTTGGTGAACTTTTAACATACCACAAGGGAGGAAGAAGGAACAGAAATACCTGGAGAGTTTCGAAATGTGGTGTTGGAGAAGAATAGAGAAGATCAGGTGGACGGATCGAGTGACCAACGAAGAAGTATTGAGGAGAGTCAACGAGCAAAGAAGCATTCTGCAGGCGATTACACGAAGGAAAGCTAACTGGCTGGGACATATTATGAGAAGGAATGGGTTACTGAGTGATATCATCGAAGGCCAGGTTGAAGGAAAGCGAGGACTGGGAAGAAGACTGATACAGCTAACCGACGATCTTAAACAAGGAAAGAAGATGACGTTCCAGGAATTAAAGCGAGAAGCCGAGAATAGGGACAACTGGAGAGCTCTTTTTGGGCAGAGCAATGGACCTGTCGTAAGACAGAACACTTAATAATAATAATAATAAGGGAAAATATTGACTATGTGCAAGTGATAAGCTTTCCAGTCAGTGAGGCATGCAAAATAGCAAAAGAATGAATTTGGAAAATATGTTTCTCCATTGGATTACATATGTTACCTCCTGTTAAAGGTAAATGTAGCAAATACAGAGTTTGTGTTATGTCTAGTTGTATTTGGGCCAGTTTTAAATTTTCATTCAAGCAGAAATTAGAAAAGTCTAGGTCATCAATGCAATGTGGTGCTTGTTTTTCTCTCCAGAACTACACACTGGATTTTGATTAAACTTGATACTTGGGGGGGTTTTCATAAAAAGCTCATATGAACATTTCATATCGGTTTTATCTGTAGTAAATTAATATTTAGAACATTAAGATATGCAAAATCACAAAAAGAAAACTCTATGCACTTTGTAATAGCTTACACAGTTTATTTAAGCGTGCTTGTAATTATTCCATTGTATTTCCATCCCCACAAGTGGCTTGTGTTTACATGTGTTGCGTCAGTCTATCAAGTCACATCTTGCGTTTTACTGTACTATTAACTTATATCAGTATCAGACTGTTATTTAGAGCAGAAGAGTTTTCAGGTCAGACAGCCTACACTGCATCAGCTAAATACAAAATGATACAACCCAGGCATGCCTGGACTGGCCCAGCATGTAGAACTAATTGAATGCTGTCTGAGCAGATGTGTTGGTTGTCTTAGTAATTTAATATACTTCCCCATATTTTTTCCAAAACCTATTCAAGTTTTAAAACAGTAATAGTCTTAATGACATGTGATTTTTAAAAAAATATTTTTATAATATAATATACCTATGTACATCAACCTAAGTTAATAAATGCAAAGAACTTACACTGCTTCATAAAACCCAATCTCATTGCAGACCCAAATTGGTATCTGGTAGGAATACGTATCTCCTCTGGGACATCTCACGAAAAATCATTTGATTGAGGGTGTCAGGTTGGAAATGTATTTAAGACTTGAGGTTCTCACAGCGGTGAGTATGAAGATATCCGTCTTCTGGGTTATTGCGCTGTGTAGTCTGGTCGATGTTAACCAACGTTTCAGAGGTCATACCGCCTCCGTCATCAGGGCGATGATTCATTGCCCTGATGACGGAGGCAGTATGACCTCTGAAACGTTGGTTAACATCGACCAGACTACACAGCGCAATAACCCAGAAGACGGATATCTTGGAAATGTATTATCTGTGTTGATTTGATGTGGTAGTGTCAATGAAGATGTGCTACATGGAATATGTGATAGGACTGCATTCAAATAGGACATGTGCCAAATTATCTATCAAAGCCACATCAAGCACCTATAAACAAAAAGTTGAATGTTGAGCCACTGTTGTTTAGCAATTTGAGTGCTAATTTGTGATCTGAATAAAGTTATAATGCTTGTAAACTATACTTTAATTTGTGGTCTCACTATATAATACCTGTTGAATGATTAGCACCGCTATCGTAGGTTTGTATCTGCAGAATATCAAGGCCAGTAAGATATGTGAAATAGCAAAGAATGAATCTGGACAATTCATGTAGGTGTACCATTCTGGAGTACAGCCTTCCGCTCATTTTTACACCGCAGTCCTGTTACCTTCTGCCTGTACTTCAAGCATATGGATATTATTTGTAAAAGCACAGGAATAGCATCACTCAACTGGTAATGCGTGAAAGGTCCCTGATATTTTCAGTTTCTCATCTTTTAATGCATTTCTGCTACTTCCCCAAAAACTGAAATTATGTGATTTGTTTCAGAATATCTTACATTATTTCTAATAACATCTTAATTAAACCTCTTCAAAAAAACAATTTACATAAAATGTGTCATAAGTTAAATGTACTATTATCTACACCAGCTGCTGTGTGTCACCAGATTACCATTTTTATGAAGTGTGCTACTGAGAGTAACACAGATGTCTCTCTAATGAATCATATCATCACATAAATACAGCCCTCCATTATTTTTCATATGCAAGTAATTGCCAGACAGACTAATATGTATTAGACATATTGATTCTTGTATATCCATATCCTCCGTGTGACAGCTGCTCTTTTCAGTATGAAGAACTCATACATGAAGACAAGATACCTGTGTGGAAAAGCAAACTGTTGCTTCTACATCATTCTGGGCAAAGAGAACAAACAGAAACCTCAACTTCTGGTACAGTACATTACTAACTATTCTCAACAAATTTTGTAAATTATTCTGTCTCCAACAGAACTTTATATTATCTTATTACACATAAATTAAAATATTGTAACTGAAATATAATTTATACTGTCACTTTAAATGACACCTTTGAAGAGCCTATGATTTTAAAAAAATGTTCTTGAGAAAGTCACTTACCTTTTGCTTTGCTGCCTGAAACAACTTACGTACTTAATTGATACAACCTAGCATTTATGTTTTCACTCTTTGACATACTCAGACTTACTGAGCAAGATGTCACTGTCAAATTTATGTACTGTAATTAATGGGTTACTGAAATTCATAATCACAGTAAAAAATTTAGTATCTCTACCTGTTCAGCACAATAATATAGCCACCTAAATTGTTGCAAAATTGTTTTACTGCATTAAGGCACATTAGACCAAACTTGGTTAACTTTGTCTCTTTCCACTCCATTTTGTCATATGCGGTAATTTTGTGAGGAAATTCAATCAACAGCAAAAATATATTTAAAGTCTTAAATAAAACTGTCAAATTAATGACAGGCATTAAAAAAAGTCTCTCATATATATGTAAATCAAAAAGTTTGTTATGGTATTATGGTTTCTAATCACAATGTTTGAATACAGTTGCTTATAGATTCACTGATGTTTTTTTAACATCTTATGTTCGAAAGAAGATCAGAAAATATTAATTTGAGCCATAAAACATGTTAAATGTAGTGTCTCTGGTGTAAGAGGAAAAGGACATTTCTTCTGTCAACATTTTATTTTTACCTTTATTTATGAACTTAAACACATTTGAGAACAACAAACTGTTTCATAATATTTTTGATTGATGGAATTCATTCACTGCTGTCACTGAAAGTTGGGAATCTACTGGATTCTATTTAATAGTAGTTTTTTATCTGTCACTGACATGACATCAGGTGTCACATAATGTAGTTCAGTATGTTACATTTTCAATAACTGTGACATTCCTCTGTCATGTATTAGTAAAGGACAATTTATTTTCTTTCTGATTGCACTTTGTGAAAAAGTCTGATGTCTTTGAGGTAACACTGACAGAGTTGTGTGATTCTTGCCCATGGCATAATGAATTTTATGGGTGATTCTGAAAACATCACACTCTTCTTTTCATGTTTAATACACATACCTGAATGGGTATTCTGTTGATTTCAAGTAATGGTTGGAACTGTTTCACAGCAGGAGGAACACAGTGATGAAAACAAACTCAGAATACTTTAAAATAATAACTTTCATCAATCTTCTAGTTTCACTTTTCAAGATGGTTCCTGATGACCAGTGTTGCCACACATTAAATATCCCAAATATAAAAATCTCTAGGTTTAAAGAAACTATTCATACAATATTTACCTCAGTTTCATAAATTTCAGTCTTTGTCCACATTTTGCTTGAATTGACCTATACTTAATAACTTACAAATATAAATGTATGAGGGTTGTTCAAATGAAACCCATTCACAGTGCTGCTAGTGAATAAAGCCATTTGTATGTGATTACATGGCTTATGCACTCTGCATGCTTGAAGATGTCAGACCATTGAGTTGGGACCTGTCACTGTGTAAGTTCTATGTGTTTCAAGAAAAGGCTATCGACTGGTGTCAGATGAAGATATCAAGGCAGTGCAGTGAGTCCAGGAGCAGCCTGAGTTCTTTTCAGAGGGGATCCATCTGCTGGTATACCAATGGGATCCCTACCTCAACATCCACAGGAACAATTTTTAACTACCTCTACTCCTTCACTTAGAACAAACTCCAGACAAGTTTCATTTGAACTAGCCTTATACATATATAATTAATTGCTACAGCTAACATGTGTCACATTACAAGGACATCTAGTTATACAGAACAAGGCAATTATACCAAAGTACTATCATTTTCATAAATATTTACAGTGCCTAAGAATTCTCAATTGAAGTAAATTCTTCTATGGAGTAGGAGTGGTCAGTTAGGAGATAATTTTTTAGCGCTGACTTAAATACTTTTATATGTCAAGTTCATGGATGCTTACTGAAAATTTTTATTCCTGTATAGGACACTTTTGTGATTTTCTAATAAGGTTAGTGTATAAAGGTCACACCTGTCTTGTGATTATACTGTGTATTAATTAGTTTAAAACTTTTCCATGTTGCTTACAATAAGTTATAAAAAGTACTTGCTGGCAATGGAAGTACATTCAATTTCTTAAATAATTCAGTACAAGAGATTCTCTTTCTGACTCCCATTATTACATTGAATTTCCTTTCTGACTTCACTTTTTTCTTGTGTAATGAATTTCCCAAGAAAATTACTCAATATGACATGGAGTGGAAGAGAGTATGTGTAAATTGCAAACATAAAATACATCACATTTTCACATCCTCTATTTTTAATGGAAAGATCATGATAATGCATGTATTTGTTCCACTCTAGTAATCAATTAACATACTTTCACATGACTTGATATTAACAAACTTCTATGCAGAAAACAACACAAATGCCATTTAATGTGACTGATCTTTGTAAAATAAATGTTTAAGCTTGTGATAAGTAAAAAATTAATAAAGCAATCACAAACAAGTTCAAAACATCTGTAATTCATTTGGATGAACTAAGTAACACTACGAGAAATCTCAACTATTACATTCTTTGGATTTCTCAAATACATATCATGCACTTCAGAGCTAAGATAATCTCCATTATTATTATTAAGTACCAGGAATAAACTAATTTATTAGATGGTTTCTTTTGTACTTTCAGAATCAGCATGGGCTGTGGATCTGGAGATAATGTTTTCAATGGCTTCTTCTGGCTGTTGGTACTAATATTACTATCATGGTGGGTTGCAGCAATCTGCTTCTTCCCATTTCTAGTGATCAGTGTTCTCACACCCTGCATTAGTGGCTTCAAAAATGTGTATGAACTTCTTTTAGCAGGCGTAATGTTCCCACATAAGTGTTCTGATAACATGGTGCACCGAAAATCATATAACTCATTTTAAAACTTAAAAAGAAAAAGATGAAATGGATAACTTGAAATTAAATATGTCAAGAACCAGAATGTCTATGTCAAAAAGTTACTTAAAACAGAATGATTTCTTTTAGTGAGGTGGGAGAATTCTTAATGGGGCAAATGTTTGAGAATTGTACTCAGGTCTGCTTAGACCAACATATAACGGCTTGTAGTAAACACTATATATGTGGAAAAAGGGAATGTAATCCAACTCACAATCACTCCATTTTCAGAGTGGCTGTAATTTTGTGTGTGTGTGTGTGTGTGCGCTAAGATAAAGACAATATGCATGGTAATTTGTGATTTTTTTTTTTAAAGACATGGTTCATGTAGTAGTTCAGATAAGCTAACATAATACTCATGAAAGTGTTAAAAATCTGAAAGAATGAACTCTTTGATTTACACAACAGAGATGTTTAAGTTGTTGTTCTGGCTTGTGACAGTGATGACATGTACATAAATACCAACATTCTGGAGACAGTCCATATGGTATCACAACCCAGAACACCAACACATAATGTAAGCTACTGTAGCTGAAGAAACTGTGTTATGTGACCTCATTTACATTAGCTCAATTTATAATAATCATGGAATCATATAACTTGGCCAGGTTTTGTAAAAATACTAGATTTACCATATCTGCCCACCTCTCTGTGTGTGTATGGTTGTACTGGTACCACTCTGACCACAGTATAATTACTTTGAGTATGTTGCTGGAGTTTTTCTTTCATATAACTAAATTTTGATTGAAGACCATTATTTTGCAAAAAGCCAATGAAACAAGGACATGACCAACAACATACCACAGGAAAGACAACATATTCAACATAAACCATGTACAGCCTTCTCTACATAACAGAACAATAGTAATATACATTAATCACTGCATTAAAGGAACTGCACAAAGGCAAGGTTTGACCACACAAGACTATATTACTCCCATGAAGGTTTTTATTTTTTTTTTTTTTTTGCTATTTCTAACCGTATTTACCATTTCTTAATCGTGCCTTATGTGTAGTGTTAAAATTAGGTCTTATGAAGATTGCTTGACAACTGAAACACACATAATTTTGATGGGACACCAGTAACAAGTTAGTGATATGATAGTTCACTGATACAAGCCACTGGTAATATTGTTGTGTAATAAGTAATGGGGCACTGGACATAAAATGTATAATTAACACAATAGTATGCTGCAGTATTGAGACATATTCCATAGAGTATCAAGCACTTTAATTATTAAATTCATGTTGTTATGACAGACCTGATTCCTTTTAATTACTTGCCTGGAAGACTTAAAACATCATGCTCTCATTTTGGGGGTGCTATCTCCACAGAGCTGCATCATGACCAAATGTCATGTTCCTCTGTGCCAACTGCTTTGGTCCCGTCATTTGCAAGGATAATCCGGAGCAAGCAGCAAGCCACTAAAAGAATACTCCAGTGGGTTTCATGATATTATCAAATGTCTGAATAAGACATGCAAGAGAGTAATTCAAAGAGAACCTGGGGAAACATAATTTCTTCCACCAAAACATAAAAATTACATGGACTAAATAAATACAAGATCCATGAATTTCTGTTCTTGCTTTCTTTATTTTTGTGCTCTCTTCTTCATGTGATGAAACAAAAAGTGTTTCTTTGGCATGTGAAATCCAAGGACACGGTATGGGATAACCAACAGTTCTGTGAAGACTTTTCAGTGCTGCACAACATAAGATAACCATTTATTCAGTGAATGAGTAAAAAATTATTCTGGTCTCCTATTCACTGGTGTACTGTCTATTAGAAATTAACCATCTCCATTACTCCAAATGAAGGCAATGTTGTTCCACAACTAATCACCAAACTGTGTTCTTGAAAAAATTACAATTCCATGGATTTATTCTGAGCAACCCCACATTTCCATATTTACATATGATGTGGTACCAACCTGATGAAATTTAAAGCACCTTATCATGTGGATCTCATGTCACAAGAGCAGTAATATAAAAATATCCTACCTTAGTTCCAAATATATTCACAGGAATGTTATTCTTGCTCTCTAAACCTTCTTTTACACTGGAGAGGCTACCAGAGCAGTCAACGGGTCTTTCACAATGGATCAAATGGTATTTCTTAAGGCACTTATACGAACATTATATAGCCAATCTGTAAGGTATAATGAAATCGCATTTAGTTCCTTTAAATGTCAATGTTCCCACCATTAAAACTAATTATAAATTTCAATTTTAATTCTACCGATTCACATATGTAAAAATCCAGTTCCTACCTCAAAGAAAACACAATGCGGCTCCATTACAAAGGTGAATTGGTTAATCTTGCTTTAGGAAATAATTGCTGTTATTCTGAAAATTATGCCAAACCCGTAAGTACACCATGTGCACATATTGCAGAGTTATTGACATATACTTACCGCTTGGCTTAAAAGAATTAACAGCACAAAACTGAAGTAAACAGAAAAACCGTTTAAATTACAAGAGTGAAACTTTTTGTTTTGTACAGCCAGTAGTTTCAGTAAAAGGAAATTGCAACAGGCCAAAAGGAAGAGAAGCAGAAACCATATATGCAGTTTTGGCAGGAATATCTATTGGAAAACAAACACTTGGAAGCCAAAGATCATTGGGTGGGGATAATATTAAATGGACCCTAGAGAAACAGGATATGATGATGTGGCTTAGGCTACACATATTCCTGTGAGGTTTAGTGTGAGCTAGATAAACTAGAACATGAATTACAGTGAAACGTCTATCCATCGTTCCCGGAACTATCGTTTTCCCGGATGCATCGTCCGTTTTGTTCGGTCCCGAAGACATCCCATATAAAATAATGTTACATTTTCCCGCTTCTATCGTTCCTCGAACTATCGTTTTATCGCATCGATCGTTCAAAAATCTTAGTCCCGGCCCACAATTTTCCCGCAATGATCGTTTCTGAGAAATTAAAATGCTGGGTTTTGAGATAAATTAATACCGAAAGACGCACAATGTTTTTGGAATAAACAGTAGCGGTAACCTGTTATGTCGCCCAACCAGCACATTCTTTTGGAATGAGGGTCAGCGGTGCAGGGGTGATAGTTGGAGTGAATGGCGGTGCTCATTGTCAGACTTTTTTGGTAAAAAGAAGTAACTTTGAAAGAGAAACTTTGTTTTTTTTAAATTTTTAATGCTTTCCCGCATCTATCGTTTTCCCGCATTCATCGTTTTTATTTCCCACCCCCGCCGAAAACAATGCATCGAGGTTTCACTGTAGTTTTCTTCTGGTGTTTTAATTCTGCCTACTATCATGCTGAATGGGAATCAGAGTTTCATGTCTATGCTACAAGCTGAGCTGTTGCATGTATTTATGAGTTTTAAAACAAACAACAGAATCTGAAGTAGAATGAAAATTAAACCTGTATGCGTGACTTCAAGTTCTCACAGCAGTGAGTATAAAGATGGCTGTCTTTTCGGTTGTACCGTGTAGTCTGGTAGAAGTAAACCAACATTTCAGAAGTGCCTGCTGCTCAACAGGGCAATGATACAGGCAGCAAGAAACTCTGAAATGTTGGTTTACTTCTACCAGACTACACGGTACAACCGAAAAGACAGCCAACTTTTAAACTTATTTGGCAAGAAAGAATATAGAAATATAGAACTGTAGTACAGTGAGATGACACCATTAAGGGCTGCAACTCATTACATACTGCACATAGCTCCACAGTCAAATAGTTACTTTTGGGAAGTTTTAGTAAGATTTGTTTACTGAAAAAATTGCTTAAAACAATTACAGTTGAAATTCCTGTACATAAAACAAAACCAGTCCTTATATGTAACAGTAATCCTCATGCATTTCCATCAGCCCATTCCTCCATCTGAGAATTATTAACTTTTAAATTCAGGTGCATACATAAAGAGGTCATTCTGAGGGATGGGGATGGGACTCGTTTGCAAGAGGACCACATAAAACTTTGGCCTTGGAAAATTAAAGGGTGTGTGGAAACTACATTAAAAATAACACTTTCAGTTCAGTCACCTTACATAAGACATGGTGAAAAGTTGCCTTCCCAAAATATGGATAGGGATCATACTCTCTGCAAAAACTAAGAACAAACAGTAATAATTTATAGAAATGTAAAGTCTTGTTTGGAGAACACAACTACTATCACAATACTTTTCTCATTCTCTACTTCCCCATTTTAATTTACAGTACAAAGCCATTTTATAGTGTGTAACTGAGTTAACAAAGATGACTGAATTATGTTAAATCTTAATGACTTATACTGCAATGATCGACAAACAAGGCTGCAGTCACTAGTAGATGTAAAAATCCAGACATACAATATTTGCACATATGACACGCCATCCATAAACAAGAATCTTTATAAATTATCTCCAAAACATGTTTACAAAATTATTACAATAATGAAATCAAACAGTGAATTGTGACAAATATTTTTTCATCTCCTATAATCGCTGGTAAAGATACAAGTAGCCCAGTTCTTTGGGAGGATTCTCAGACAGTGCTACCTTGTTATCATTGTAGATGACCCAATGTCCGTCACGTAAGATATGACACACATAATGGCCCACCATTGTGGAAGTACCCATGTGAGAGATAAATGCTATCAGTCGATATCCTGGAAAAGAAAGTAAAAATTATAAAGGTACATCAATTTTAAAGACAATTTTTGTTATCACGAACCTCTAAAAATCTTATTGCATCTCAGACATTTTATAAGAGTATGTATAGTCCTACCTATAGACACTTCATTAAACGCATTTTCTAGTGAAAGCCTTAATTCGCCATAACAATGATAGTAATGATAATGAAAATAGGTAATCAGAGCTCATCTGTCTACTCACGGCTTTCCCCATCCCGGAAAGTGGGTCCAACAGCTGCTCCACCAGTATCTTCCGAATCAATCTCAGCCTGATGGCTAAAGATCCAGTCTGCAGCTCGTTCCACATTATTATTGGTGGCTTTCAAAGCTTGTACGGCCTGCACTCGAGTGAAGCCCATCATCGTTATCATTGAAACAGCTTCTTCATTTGGAATAAAGTTGCTCATCCCACCTAAGAGGTGGAAGTGTCCATCCAGTGCATTAAGCAATAGCGAACAGAAAATATGTAGAAACTGGAAGTAACATATCTGCTCTCTGATAGCAATGACTTTCTCATACACATATCTAACCTGCTTATAATGTATTATTGAAGTTACCTGTTTTGCAGTCTATGCCAGGAGGGACAAAAGGATTGGCAAAATCGGAATCACCAATATGATCCATGATCCAGTTTGTAGCAGGTTCCAGCCCCTTATTATCTGTGAAGTAAACAGCTTTCTTGCAGGCCTCAGGGGGAAATCCCATGTCCACCAACTGCTTGAGGACTTCTTGGTCAAGCACAGGAGGGGGTGGTGGAGCTCCTGTGATCTCTGGTAGAGGTTCCTCCCCAGGCTGTGGTCCAGTGGCCCTCAGGAGGGACAGGTCCAGTTCATCAGGCATCTCTACTGCAACATCCAGTTTGATGGGCACCCAGTCCTCTCTCAGAGTAAACTTCTTCAGGTGGATAAGGAGGTAGTCGGGAAACGACGCAAGACGTGTTGTCCTGAGCAAGATGAATTTGTTGTGTCAGTAATGTCTACATGTAACTGAGCATAACAAAAATGAGAGAAATACTATAACACGAAAAAGGATGCAAAGGTATACTCTTTTGAGAGCATTAAAATTCCAAAGGTTTCCTTTACACCATGTCACAGACAATGATGTCAACAGAGTAACCAAGGGAATAACAAATGTAACAATAATATCAAAGCCAAATATGGTACCCCAAGGTCACATTTGTAATAATGGGATGAAATACGAGGCGCGTCCCAAAAGTAAGTTTCCCACTCGTCCCACAGCTAGCAAACCTTATATTGCGCGAACCGACTGTGCGTACGTGATAGAGCAATGACGTAGCATGGCGCATGCACTAACGGCACTTCCCGCGTTCTCACAGTAGCATCGTTGCAGCTGTTGAAGATGGAGGTTCTTATTCCAGCTCCCGCCGACTGTGAAGTGCGGTCAGTGATAACGCTAGGCCGCACACGGCTCGACGGACAGCAAGTCTCCTGCAGGAGTTCAGCTGGGAGGTGTTTAATCATTCACCCTACAGCCCGGACCTCGCTCCCAGTGATTTCCATCTTTTCCTACACCTCAAGAAATTCCTGTCCGGTCAGCGTCAGCGTTTTGAGAATGACAGAGAGGCGGAGATGGCTGTCACACAGTGGTTCCAATCCCAGGCGGCAGACTTCTACGACACAGGTATTAAAAGTTGGTCCCACGGTATGACAAATGTCTCAATTCCGGTGGCGAATATGTTGAAAAATAGCTAGACACTTGCTGTATCTGTTGCAATAAATATTTCCATGAAATTGTAGACGGACAAGAATGGACCCGTGCATGAAGAACAACGAAATTGATTGGCATCTCTCCATAACAGCATTAACAAGACGAATAACAAATGGCATCAAACACAATGATATTTTACCTTACCAGTCCCTCTATAATGATAATAAATGAGGATTTGCCAAGATACTTCCTACCACATAACAGCTGTTCCTGAACTCATCACTACACAAACCTCTTTGAAACTACAAACTCACATCTAGAGCAATTCCCCCTCCCCGAGAATATTTCATACATATCCACTCCTTTAATTAAGCAACATCCGATGAAGGAATGTGGGAAAGTGGAGGTATGCAACCATTAACTTCAGCACTAGACAGAGATGGGTAGTCGGCTACACATTCTAGCTACTTTACCTCCAGAATCACTAGAACCATTTTCTTCATATACTGTCAGAAATATGGCACAGACTTCACCTTTCACACATTTATCCAAATATTCTTTGTATTTAGCATTTCACAAAAAGGGAAGTACTTCCACAATTTTTCAACCTGAGTCTAGTGAGGTCAGATCCACAATGCATGACAAACAAATCCCTACATGCTGGGACTTACATCAGTATTAACTGTCACATGTCACGGTAGGTGCACCACAAAAAACTTCAGCACTGCTGTATACCAATATGAAATTTGCAACTTGGATAAAAAAAATCCATGTACCCACAAAAGAGCCCCTTAATTTCTGTCACTTTAGTTTTGACACTTTTATTTAATATAGAAATGACGTAAGAAAGAAAAAAACACTAAAACACTCTCAAACTAAAATTGTTGGAACTCAAAGAACACTTACTTTCTTGCGGTCGTTTTCTCGTTCAAGGCAGAGCTGTAGAAATGCTCGACTATCTCCGGTTGAGAGAATGCTTCCAGACAGGAGAAGAGCTTAATCTTAGGCCGTACGACAACGCTTGGGTCTCTTGCAAACATAACATCAAGCAACACTATACAAGAATTGAAAAGCACAGTATGTTTCCTGATTATTACTTTACGAGGTGCGATCAGAAAGTTTCCAGACTGTGTCAATAGAGGGTGAACCGGATGTAGTATGAGCTTCTGCCGCTAAGGGGTTGGGCCTACATTCATAGTGAATCAGTGTTCCAGCCGGCATCATCGAATCAGCATTTGTTTCTTAGTTACGGGCGTTTTGGTAGTGCATTACACCGACCCTCCTGCGATTGCGGATTTTCATGAACAAAGAGTGTGCATCAAATTTTGCTAAAGACTCGCCAAAACGGCTACGGAAACCTATGAAATGCTAAAGCAAGCATTTGGGAAGTCCGCAATGGGTCGTGCACAAACTTTTGTGTGGCATTCACGTTTTAAAAATGGCCGAACCTCTGTCGATGATGACGAGCGTTCTGGACGACCATCTTCGAGCACAACGCCCGAAAATGTTACGAAGATCGAAGTCGTACCATCAACGACTTGTGCGACATTGTTGGGACCTGTCAGCTGATTCTAAAGGAAGAACTCCACATGCGACGCATCATGACAACGCGCCAGCACACACCGCCCTCAAAGTTCGGCAGTTTTTGGCCTCAAACACAATGGCCGTCATCCCGCCCCCTCCTTATTCGCCGCGCATCTCGGCCAAGTTTGTGCCAAGGCTCCTGTCTGAGGACCAGAAGCAGAATCGACTTCTCGTTTGTCAGGAGTTTAAAGATCTTGCAAGAACCGACCCCAACTTCCTTTCTAAGGTTTCCTCTTCTCAAAGATGAAAATTCAGCTAAAGGGAAGGAGATTTGAGACGATAGAAGAGATTCAGGCAGAATCGCAGATGGTGCTTGACAGGCTGACAAAGAAAGATTTCCAGGGATGCTTCCAGGCTTAGCAGCGGCGCTGGGATCGTTGTGTTCACTCCCAGGGGAACTACTTCGAGGGTGATGGATGAATTGAATACCTGAGATAAGTGTACGGGTTTTTATAGGCGCAGTCTTGAAACTTTCTGATCGCACCTCGTATATGATTTTTCTGAAGAATCATAATCAAGATAAAAACTGCTATTTAAAAAGTATACATCATCAGTTATTTATCACATTCTGGAGGTAGAATACTACATTCTCAGATCCAAAACCTTATTCTACTTGAAAAAAGGAAAAACTGGCACTAGGGAAGGAATCTATTACTGCGCTTATTTATAAAAATGGTGATAAAGCTAATTATAATTAAATGTAAATGAATATCATTGTTATCAACAACACAGATTTTCTCAAACACTCTTCTCTTAACGTTAACTCCAACAACAGACACAATTATTTTGAATCATCAGTGTCAATGCTGACATATCAGATCAACTACTGGTTAGACATTGTACATTTATCAGATACTGGAGGAAAAATGGAAGTAAAATGGGACAGTACATAAAGTTTCTAGACTTAAAAAAAGGCATCATTGAGGACATAAGTATTTTAAATTCTCACTGTATTCATAAAACTAGTTAGGCTAATTAAAATGTGTCTAAACAATGTTTATGTCTTGGATGACATCAATATTAAACATATACGCAGAAGCTGTTAGATGCTGGTAAGGTTTGTCCAGAAATAAACACAGGGAAAATGAAGTGTATGTTACATCTCATCACCAGAATGAAAGACAATATCACAATATAAAAGTAATTAATACTGTAAATCCTTAGAAAATTTGGCCAAGCTCAGATATTTTGGAATTAATCAAACTTATCTTCACAAATTAATAGAGGCAAATTAAATTCTCGGAAATTCTACAACCATCCAGAAGCCGGCCGCAGTGGCCACGCGGTCTGAAGCATGGACCTCGTGCGCCTGGCCGCTGGGACCATGGGTTCGAGTCCCACTCAAGGCATGGATGTTTGTCCGCGTCTTTCTGGGTTTGTATCGGTAGAGGCCTTGTGTCAGGCTGATCACTCATCCAAGGAGTCCTACCATTGTCCAGATAGATCAATCATATAAATAAAAAAAACCTCGACACCTACGGGTAAAAGAGGATGAGAGAAAGAAAGAAGTAAAAAATAAAACTATAACTGTATCCATTGTTTTGTATGAGAATACAATTTATTTCATATCCTGAGGCAGGAAAACAGAATAAAGATATCTGAGAAGAAGGTGCTGAGAAGAATTCTTGGACTGAAGAGATAAGAAGTTACAGGAAGCTGTAGAAAACTGCATAAGGAGAAGCTAGTTGAGTGACTACCAGCTTTTCAAGAAGAACTCTGACCCATGTTCTTAGCTAATCGTAATATGATTATTTCTATTTATGGCAAATAACAATAAGAAAAGCAAAGACATTTCACTGCTGAAACGTGTAGTAATCAAACAAGAATTCAGGATGAAGTTGCGTTTGCTACAATATGTTGTCTAACTTACAATCTCTGTCCTTTGGACTCTGCGTCTGCCTTGAGAGCCTCATATGCTGTGACCTCCTCCTTGTTGATGGCAACTTCAAGAGGGATCGGTAGTGGCAAGCTATACTCCGTTCTGTACATGTACTTAACTTTCTTTGATTTACTACACTGAAAGCGATCCTCCACAGAGAACTTGAAGCAGTCCGACGGATTGTTCTGGTGACGACTGTTCCTCTGTAAGAATTTGAAAGTCACCCACACAAAGGCGTTCAATGCTAATTTTTAACAAGTATTTGTATAAAGATGTAAGATTTGAGGTTTATAACCCCTCCTTACCAACTATACTTTTTTCAATCTGTTTGACAACTTCTCTTGTAACTTGTATTTGTACAACTGGAGAAAACACCAAAGTGATTTTTTCAACCTTAAGTACACTTTATTGTTCCTGCAGCCAGCTTTCATACTGCCACACATTACTCGGAATTATTTTGCTATTTCAGAGTCCCTTACTTTCTTTGCATTTAAACAGACCATAAACTCTAGCTATCAAAGGCAAAACAATGTATTTTCAAAATTTATCACAGATTATCTTCTTAATAATCTGAACAAGCCCAGCAAATACAATGACCCCCACCCCCTTGCCTATGCCTACGCCCACCGGAAAAATGTGGCAGGCAGACAATGGACACACGTTCTTCGCTTAAGCAAGAACATGTCCTACCAATATGCAACGAATGGTACCTCAAGTGTGTTGATGAAATGCAAGAAGAACTCTTGTGCGTCCTGTTGCCTCTTTGTAGAGAATAATGGATGTCCTTTGCCAATCAGAGCCTTGAACATATGTGGGGAGATACCAGGCTGTAATTCATCAGTAATCTGCTTCGCTTCGGAAGCTTCTGCTGGAGGCTGCGAGTACTTTCCATTCAACAGGCCTAATCCAAGCTTAGCCCTGAATGTGGAGAGAGGGAAATATTGAAAGTAAAAAATAATGAAAAGTTTGCACTAGTGTAGACTTGGCAGTAGTTAAACAACTTTCTTCCTTCTACTGCCATGCTTTCTCCTCATTTCACCCAACACAGAACACAGAAAATTACTAATATTATGACTTTTAGTTCCAGACCATGTTAATTTATTTATAGTTTATTTAACAACGCTTTTTCAGTAGCTCAAACTATATAGTAAAATAAGCAGATGACAGTGAATTGGAAAGGATGTGGAAGGAAGCGGTCATGGCCTAATTTATGGTGCTATCCCAGCATTTGCCTGGAGGTACTGAAGAAAGACATAAAAATGCCAGTCACGATAGCTGGTTTCCAGGCTAAGATTTGAACCTGGGACCTCCTGAACATGAAGCAAGAGTGTTAACTGTTTGATTACGTTTGATCAGACCATATTAAACAGAAGCCAAACATGAACGAAACACCTTCATAACTTCACAACCATCTGAGATTTTCTTGAATTAGACTCTGGACAGACAAAAATACACAAACTGGAATACACATGTTTTTGAAATGCATTCTTTACAATTTTACACACCTCATTGGCTTTGATGTTGCTTTAGTACTGATACAAATCTATTTTTTCATTCAGGAGGAAGCTCTGGTAAATCAACTGCATTAGCTAATAAATGATGTACAGGTAGCCCTCGCTTTACGCCGGGGATGCGTTCCTGGACGAACCGGCGTAAATCAATGGGAAGTCAATGACATGCATTCCCAGCACCCAAACATTGACGACTAATATAATGGCATTACATTTAAAGCTCTGAAATAACGTAAATAAAATAAAATAAAGGAAATTTAAAAAATATATTTTATACACTTACAATCTGCAATTCATTGGTCCCCACGATTCTTTCATGTGATTGAAGTGTACAGTCATCTCTCCTGTTAAGCGATAGTTGCATTCATGTAAGACGACGACTTATAGAAAATTGCGTAGTAAAAATAACCCTGGTACCTCAGCAGAGATTAAATTAGTCCTTTGAAAGTTTAAAGCGACAGGAATGAAATTGTGTAAGAGCAAACTCACATATGCAAAAGTTTGCATTTCACAAACAGCTTTTACCGATTCATCGATCTCATTGGAGCAAATTCGCGTTAACAAAACATACATAATTGCAGAGGTGACTGTATTTATAATTTTTATTCAAAATCAGCGATGTAAGAATTACAATTTAGTATAAGAATCAGTACGAGATACATTGTAAAACGTTATAAATAACAGTAAAATATATTTTTTTCACCTTTTGACTTTCTGGTTTCAAAATCGGCATTATTCTGAAACGGCGCAAATTGAACCGGCGCGAATCGAGGGCTACCTGTACTTAAAACCTGGAAGAGTATGAATGAAAGCAGTGAAGGAACACAATAGTTATTTACTTACTGCTGATTTGACCATGAAATTAAACTCGCTCGACTCTTCTAGTTTAGGTTCCCAACACTACATTTTACGAACTATAACATACGAACAGGTAAATATTAAATTCCCCATATAGAGCTTCACTTCATGCAAAGAACGCATAATAATGTATTTCCCATCTTAAGTAACTGAAGTGTATGACATTAGTCAAGCTGCAATTAAGAACACTTCTTACCACATGGTGAACTAGTTGGTGAGTATATCAGAATGTCATGGTGGCCTAAATACTGGTTTATATATATATATATATATATATATAATACACACACTTCACAGAAAACAGACCCAATGAGACAAAAGAAAACCAGTAAGAAATATGATGCAGGGTTCTTTCAAACAAAGGCGCACTTACGTCTGCACATTGAAATCTGACGCTGGATCAGGAGACGTAGAATCAAAAATGTCTGCAGAGTCCTCAACAAACCTACAAGAATAAATCAACTTAAGAACACATGTAAATAGCATAACTGCATAACAGATGAACAGGAAAACAGCTGTTTGAAAAAATGTCAGTCTATCACCACCATACATTACAGATTTTCAAATGATCTATAAAATTTCTTCAATACCACACCTAACGAACAATACACACGATCATAACTGAGCAGCGTGTACAAACTCACTGACTTATGAAATAGCAACCAACTGCATGACACAGCTCCCTCACCTTTTAACAAAATCTGGAATAACAAAGATGACTTGCATTATACTGTTCATGTAACAGGAGTTACCAAGATTGACCAAGCCAGTGTATCCTGGACCATACAGTGGTTTTAACTGACTGCCAGCTTCCTGTAGTGCCACCCACTCACCAAATTTTTGGTTCAAGTCCAGCTCCAATTCCACCATAGACTTATCAGTCTGAAACATTAAACAGAATCTTGCAAGACTGGTAACAGAAACAAAGCAAAGCAGGGCAGCAGAGTGACATCTATATGCATTCATTGTAAAGGCGAGTGTTTTGTAACATAGTATGCCGGTACCTCAGTACAGTACCATCACAATGTGAAGTTAGTCAACGATTCCCAAATCAGTGTGTGTTCATTAAAAGGTTTTACAAGCCCCATTCACTGGCATTTTATTTGACAGAAGTCTTACAAAGTTATTTCTTAAAATAGAAAATTGTTTCTTAAATGAGGGGTCTGCACCTCTATCCCTAACATAATGGAAATTTCATCCTTAATGTTTATCTAAAATTTCTCAGATCCCACAAAAGAGATTTCTGTATGAAATATAAGCCTACGTCTTCAAATGCTTCAATATATGTGGCAAGTATATATTTATTATCACAGTCTATACACAAACGTATTTAAAATGTTGTTGTTAAAATTGATATAACACTATAACATCTGTAGTATAAAATATTACAATAAGTTATATTATGTTATATTATGGCGCTTTTATCGTAGTATGATGTTACATTTATTATGGCGCTTATTATTAATTGTACGACATGTTTCGATGTTTTATGACATCATCTTCAGGTTTATATCGTCATTTTTATCATTTTAAAACTATTATATATTTCGATGCAATGCATTTATTGATTTATAGGTATATTTGTAGATTTTTCTGTCTTCATAATGCTCTGCATGTCTGTAGTTAGACGTTCATTTTCGATTTTGTGTTGTGTGATGTATCCTACGTCTGCTAGCGGGCAAGGAAAGGCCAACTGGGACTATAAATTAACAATTATACAATTCAGTAATCCACTTCTGTGCATTTTCTACCTACACAGATTCCAGTTATAGTAATGTTCAATAAATAACATCAAAGTATTATACCATCACCATGTTTACAACTGTTCACATGTAAAAAAACTGTTTCATACACAAACTGCAGGTACATTTATGATTCACCCCCATACAAAGTTTAAAATGTGTACCTAAAATATTTCAACCACCATCAAACCAACAGCTAGAAATAATTTTCACATGGCTGTTACAAAGCTGTTTCACATTTTATGAATTACTTTAAGTCACCTTGCATATTTTTCTAATCTCTATTTACCATACGACACTTCACAATCCTACATTACAAAGCACTGGTCTACCTACCAAGTCAGATCACAATATCATACTGACACTATTAATGCTAGGAAATAAAAATGCGAGTGCCTCTAGAGCCATAAAAACATACAAAATTTCATGAAAATCTGTAAAATGATCAATGCTCACCTAATTCAAACATAGCAAACAAGAGACAGATGAAATAGCAAGTAACTAAACTACCTTCTCCATCTGTGCAATGTTGATTCCAAAATGTGCCAAATGGACGATAAGATTTGGATCCTCCACCATGTCATCTTCGTCGTAACTAAACACATCTGCCTTTCCATCCTTTGTAATTGTACCCAGTTTCACAGCCAATGGATAACCTGAAACACACAACAACTGAACTCAAAAAGACCAGATTTTATCCCAGACACGGATAGATTTTTTTCTTCACCACTATCTCTGGACAAGCCCTGAGGCTCACACAGCTTCCTACTCGCTTGGCGCCAGAGGCTTATTTACATGGAAACAGAAATAAAGCGGCCAGAGCATGAGATTAACCACACACCTCCATATAATGCTAAGATATAGAATGTGCGTATCTTTTCCTCTCTTCATCTTGAGGCCTAGTATTAGGATTCTACCCCAAAGCATTTCATAAGGACTTTGTATTAAACAATGTAGCTCTGGAGCATAATCTCTCTTCCATCACAATACCACCAATATTCAGTACTCCACTAGAAATAAACTGCAATGAACTCTGAACACACAAAATGGCTGATATAACAGAAATAGACTGGGAAATTGTTATAAAGTTCAGTATTTTGTCATGCAAAAGATTCAGTGAGAATATATGCATCAAGGCATATAATATTAGAAAACATGAGAAGCAATCAAACTACAGGATAACATTAATTTTCTACATAAACACAACGTACATAAATGATTTTTGTCCACTGGTTTATAATGGCCTAAAACCTTGCTGTGTATATGAGGTTTTTGGCTGCCGTCAGACCACCGACAGAAACAGTTTCAAATTTGAATAAAAATTTACTTGGATATTATCCATCGTCTAGTAATGAAACGTAAAAAACGTAAAACGACGTTTCGGAGATGAGGCTCTATCTCCGTCTTCAGGTTCCTACTCAGTTGGGCCCACTAGATAGAGCTAATCCCTATCTCCAGCTCTATCTAGTGGGCCCAACTGAGTAGGAACCTGAAGACGGAGATAGAGCCTCATCTCCGAAACGTCGTTTTACGTTTTTTACATTTCATTACTAGACGATGGATAATATCCAAGTAAATTTTTATTCAAGGAGGTAGTTTCCACTCTATCACGATCCTTTTAATTCCGTCATTCCATCCCGGTCTCGGTCTTCCTCCCTTCCTTCTCTCTTTTGGTTGCCATTCATAGTCATTTTTGGTAACCTTTCCTCCTCCATCCTTTGCACGTGTCCATACCAAATCAGTTGTCTTTTCTCTATCTCCTCAATTATATCTCGATCCACCCTCATGATTTTTCCAATCCTTTCGTTCCTCACTCTCTCTTCTGGATATTCCAGCCGCTCTTCTTAGAAAATCCATTTCCATTATTCTCAACTTATTTTTTGTTGTCCCAAGAGTTGGTAAATTTCTGCTACATAAAGAGCCACGCTTTGTATCATCATTTTATATATTCTCTCTTTCGTTCTTTTTGTGATATTTTGTCCCATAATATTGGGTTGAGGGCCCCTATGAGTCTCCTTCCTTGTTTTATTCTCTCCTCTGTTTCAATTACACACATCCCTTGGTCCCCTATCATCGCTCCTAGATATTTAATATTTTTCTGTCCTATTTATTACTACTCCCATTTCCATTATCAGTGCATCATTAGTATTTCCTAAATTCCAATACATTGTCTTATCTAAATTTAATGTTAATCCCCAGATTTCATATTCTTCTTTTACTTTCCTCATCATAAATTCCAGGTATTCTTCTGTCTGTGCTATTATCGCTTGGTCATCGGCGAATTGTAGTGTATACATCGTTGTTTTTAAATTCAATAGTTTCAGATATACAGATACACAGCTTAAGACATTTCAAAGCTGCAACTGAATACCACCGTTTAATCAGATCTTTAAACTACAAGACACTGCCACCAACAATTTAACTACTGCATTTGTATATATATACAGACCAGACACAATATGTTACCTGTCGCCCTGTAATGCTCAACAGCATGATCATTGCCTCCTGAGCCATCATAGAACTTGCGACCGCATAGGATAGATCCGTCAGTAAGATTCAGCCATAGATTCTGTGTAAGGTCACATTGCTCACACTTCCAATTGCATGGTGGAATTTTCTTCCCATTATCCAACTGAAGCAAGTTTTCAGCATGTCTATGAACAAATGTATATAATATTTAAGAAAAATCCAGTTCTATTCAATATTCAACATAAAATGTCAATTTTTTTTTTTTCCAGTTATTTACACAGTCTGAAAATTAAAATACAAAGACCAGGCCAAGGTCTAATGCAACGAGGATATAAAAGCTAATAATGATATGTAACGGAAACCCAGCACAGCAATTACACATAGATTGTATCAGGCACATTACTAACTTCTAGAAGTTAGATATCCGTCTTCTGGGTTATTGTGCTGTGTAGTCTGGTCGATGTTAACCAACGTTTCAGAGGTCATACTGCCTCCATCATCAGGGCGATGAGTATGAAGATTTCTGTCTCCTGGGTTGTTGCGCTGTGTAGTCTGGTCGATGTTAACCAACGTTTCAGAGGTCATACTGCCTCCATCATCAGGGCGATGAGTATGAAGATTTCTGTCTTCTGGGTTGTTGCGCTGTGTAGTCTGGTCGATGTTAACCAACGTTTCAGAGGTCATACTGCCTCCATCATCAGGGCGAT